GGGGGATAGAAACTTGTATATAACTTTGTAGAATTTGTCTCTACCTGTACTTGTTTTTTTGATCCCCCCTTTTTTTGGCTGCTGTATTTTTTTCTTGCCTTTCCAAAGGTTTGAATTTTAGCTGGAAACTAATTTTTGTTAGTATCTTTTTTCTAAGCTAATTGATTTTGTTAAAACCTTTTTAAAGGGACTGTGCAAGTTTGACTTCATATAACTCAAATCATGGTTCCGCGAAAAGTGGACCTGGCTAACAGCTTCTTGCAACAGAATTTGAGTGAATATGATATGATAATCTGCATTTTTCGCATATGGCCTTTTGTTAATGTTTTACTGAGTGATTCATGCATTTCTCACAGGTATTGAAGCTCCTCCAAGAGATTACACCATTCACGGAACATCAGGGAGCAAGATTTTTACAACTATTGGGGCAGTGGCTAATCTTGTTTTTGCCTTCAATACCGGAATGCTTCCGGAAATACAGGTGAGTACGAATTGTAAATTTCTTAATATATACTAGGATGTTGCACGTGCAGCGCACGTAGGGCTGCACATTCGGTCGAAACCGAACCGAACCATCAAAATTTTGGTTTGTCCAGCATTACAACCGAAAACCGAACCGAAAACTACAGTTCGGTTCGGTTTCAAACCAAAAATTTATCGGTTTTATCAGTCCGGTTATCGGTTATCCGATAAAATGGAAAAATGACAAAAAAAAAAAAAAAACAAATAACAATAGATACTACTTAATAATTTTATTAAAACAAAAATAAAATGCATAATAATAATAATAATAATAATAATAATAATAATAATAATAATAATAATAATAATAATAATAATAATAAGAGAACTTGTCACAAAATACAAGTTTATCAAGTCTTATACAAGACACTAGGTTCATTAGACATAAAAATAACAAGTCTTGGCCACTCACACATAACAATAATAATTAAAAAAAAAAGTCCAATAGAACACCGTGAGTGACGGCCTGCCGGAAGGAGTGGAGTGTGTGCGGGAGCAAAAACGACCGAGCGAGGCGATTTCGGATTTTACACTTCAGTGCGCGGCGATTTGGGATTTCAGGCTTCAGAGCGCCGACACCGATCGACCGGAGACGGAGTGTGTGACTGACAGGTTGTGTGCGGCGGGCGGGCGGAGAAGAAGATAGTTAGGGTTTACTTGGAAATTTTTTTGGACAATGAAAATTGTGATTTGTAAATGTCAATCTTCTTTAGTTCGTTAGGTCACTGCTGGTAGAATGTGAATTGAGAATTATGCGATTGAGTTGGGTCAAATTCTTTAGGTCACTGGTAGAATGTGAATTGAGAATTATGCGGTTGAGTTGGGTCAAATGCCTCAATGGAATGGATTGAGTGATAAATTGGATTTGGGTCTAATTCTATGGAAGATGATTAGATGAGTGATAAATTGGGCCGCCTAAGCTTTTGGCCTGTGGCTAAATTACTAATGGGTTGAATAATTATATTGCGCTTTTTAAACTTATATATATAATATCGGTTTTCGTTTTGGTTGCGGTTAACCGACAGATTGTAACCAAACCGAACCGAAAACCGAGAATATTAAGAAAATAAGAACCAAAAATCGAACCGATTGGTCGGTTTCGGTCTAAACCGAATTGTCGGTTTCGGTCGGTTAACCATAGTTTGTGTAACCCTAGACGCACGTGATTAATTATTTTTATGATTTAAAAGCTAAATTTTATTGAATTTATGTTTAAAATTAAATTTTTTTAATAGTTTAATGAAAAAAGGAAATGCATATATAACAAATTATATAAATGTATTGGCTGAAACATAATCTTTAATGGTAATAATTAAAATCTATAATTAAAAAAAAAATATTGTGCTAAAAATCCAAAAATAAAATCACTCAAATTTTCAGTGATTGTTGATTGCTAACGAAGTCTCATTTACCTATCATTTGTTAATTGTTAATTAATGTTGTCTTCATCGTTGTTTGAAATCGTGATTATTGATGTGATTTTTTTATATCTTCATTTGTTGTCACTCTTGTTTGTAGCAATTAGATTTAATTGTTAATTTAATATTATTCAACTTTGTTTGGATGCTTTCTCTTACTCTCATCTTTGATATATTTGTGTGAATGACTTGGCCAAAATATAATGCGTTATACACATGTAAAATTTATGTTCAATATTTTTTCCGTAGGTAAAAATATATACTCTATATATATATATATATTTGAATTTTCAATTTATCAAGAAAAAAGGATTCCGAATAATAATATTTAAGTTCACCTTTAGTAATATGCCTGATGTAAATCTATTTTTAGACTAATATTTTTTACTTAATTTTGGTTGATAACATATAAAACTTGAAGTCTGAGGCTTGCAAGCTTAGTCTTTCTTAATATTTAGTTACTTTTTTTTTAAGAGAATGATATAAAATGTAAAAAAATATTTGAAAAATATTAGTAAACAATAATATGATTGAAAATACTTAATGTATATAACAAACAAATTTGTTTGTCAAACATTATTGCATATTGAATAGTTTTTATATGAAAATTCAAGACTAATAAACATAAAAAAGTGCTTAATGAATTATAAATGGTTCTTTTATGTAATATTTTCATCTTGACATTATAATGCACATTGGTCTAAACAATAATTTTGAATCTTATATAAGCTCATTGTCGAAATGGATGATGCATCTTAGGCTATGTTTGGGAAACCTAGCTGATAAGCTAGTTGATAGCTGATAAGTTAGCTTATAGCTTATATGTAATTTTCGAGCTTATAGCTTATAGCTTATGACTTATAGCTGAAAAACTAGCTTATATGATAAAAGTGTTTGGTAAAATTAGCTGATAAGCTAGCTGGAATAAAAAATTCAACTAGCTTATTTGAAAAGTTACCTAAACAAGCTTATCAAATAAGCTCGAACTTTTTAAATAAGCTCGTCCTACCAAACGAGGCTTATTTAAAAACAGGAAGCTTATAAGCTAACCAAATAAGCTATAAGCTAGCTTATTTGGTTTACCAAACACAACCTTATTATACAATTTCTATCCGGTGGTATCTTACTTAAGTTTTATAAATTTGCATCATGTCATGGTCCCAGGTACTATAATATTATTAATAATGGTTAACTTTTTTTTTTCCTGCTTGCAAAGAAGTGTGCTTGCAAAGAAGTGAGCCGTAACAATATTTTATTTGAATATGACATGAGTAATGTTAAAAATAACACTGATTATGACATGAAATGTAAAGTAAACATATTCATTATTTTTATTAAATGATTCTAATGATAACTATTTTGAAACAATTAGATATATATAACAAATTTATGATTTTGTCTCATATGTATAATTTTATTTTATATTTTGTACTAATTTTATTTTTATACTCGCACTAAAATTACAATAAATGATATATAAATCCAACACATTAGTATGAAAAAATATTTATACAATGTGTATTATGGAAAGGTGAACTTAAATTATACTATTCAGAATCTTCTAATTCTAAAATTTTAATTATTGCAAAGAATCATAAAAGCAAAAGTAACCTTATTAACCACAAAGAATAACGTTAGTAATTTATTATTTAATTAATGTAATATTATGAGATAAATTGAATAATATGATCGGTAATATTTTTTGTAGTAATTTAAAAATTATAAAAACTATTTCTGTCGTTGAATTATATATTAAAATTATAAAAACTATTTATGACGTTGAATTATATATTTTTTTATTACATAAATAATATTTTAATTAAAAAAATTATATTAGTTATATAGAAGAATTATACTTTGTCTCTATCAAAAATATAATACTTTATATTACTATTTTTTATTTTTATTTTATTGAAAATGAACAAAATTTTATTGAAAACTGAAAATTAATAATTGTAACTCCCGATAGTATTGAAATAATTACCTGGAAATTAATTATAGTGAAGGGCACTTTATCAATTTGCTTAGGCAAATTCCAAATTTTGTCCTTTTACTTGTCTAAAGTCTTTTTGTACACTAACTTACCCTTCATCAATATTAGTGATGTTATGTTCAATTTGTATAATTTTGGGACATTACTCATCAAAAACAATAAGTTATGTTGCAATTTGTATCATTTTTAGAACATTAATCCCAAAATACAAATTGCAACATAACGTACTATTATTGATGAGGGGAAAGTTAACATACCAAAAAATGACTTTAGACAAGTAAATGGACCAAAATTGAATTTTTGCCAATAGTGAAGTTAGATCTGCTGGTCTGCTCGGAGCGTAACCATACTTGGAGGTTTCATACCTAGACGGGAATGAGAAGGTCGGAGTTAAGCATACGCTATCAGGAAAACCCTAAGACCCTTCAACAGCTGTAAAAGACAATTCAAGGCTTTAGTTAGCACAGGAAGAACTCCTTACAGATAGTAACTGCAGGAACAAGAACTCATAGAAGGCTCGAAGCTCGCTCTCGAATCAAATAGTCGGCCTGAAGCCTAGCCTCAATAAGAGTGTGTTATAGGTACGTAGTCGCTATAACTAAACTATTCGCCTGGAATGAAGAGTTTTAGGTTTAGGCGCGGCAGAGAAAGCCAGCGTCTTTCAGAACCAATCAAACCGATGCTGACCGTAGGATCAATCAGGTGGACTAGGTCTTTCTGAAAAGGATAGAACTTTGCTTTTGGAGGAAAAGAGAAAGCGAAAGAGAGATGGGGATGAAGAAGACCCCATTATTACAAAGAACATTTTTTTAAGGCCGTGGAACCCCTTAGGAAATCTTTAGCAGAAGAAAAAATGTATGGCTATGGCATATTCAAAGAATGCTTATTAACCACAAAGAATAACGTTATTAATTTATTATTTAATTAATGTCATATTATGAGATAAATTGAATAATATGATCGGCATTATTTTTTATGATAATTAAAAATTATAAAAACTATTTCTGTTGTTGAATTATATATTCTTTTACTACATAAATAATATTTTAAATTAAAAAATTTATATTACTTATATAGAAGAATTATACTTTTGGCTTCTATCAATTTTAAACATATAATACTTGATACTACTATTTTTTAGTTTAATTTTATTATAAATGAACAAAATTTTATTGAAATCTGAAAGTTAATAATTGTAACTCCCGATAGTTTTGAAAAAATTACCTTGGACATTAATTATAGTGAAGGGAATTTCTAGCAATCTAATTTTTTCAGGAAACAACTCTTTCCTGTAAGAGAGTTATAGATTATAGATTAATACTTCGTGAAAGTAATTTACCAGGAAACTGTTGCTAATGCTAATTTCAAAAGATTTTGTATAATTTGGCATCAATTTAGAAGCTGAGCCTACATTTTGTTATATTTGAATAAATGTGGAGGATACAACTTTTGTTACCTCGTTCAACTTTTCAAAAATGTTAGCGTAATTATTGTAGTTATCCAATGTTGATGGGTTTCAAAGCACATCATGAATATTATTAATTGCATTAATCCCAGGAGTAGGTTAGCAACGTTCATTTTCCTTTCCTTTTTTGGTTTCCTTTCGCTTCCTATAAAGCCTGTGACTGTCTGTGATGCATCAACAATGCTTCTGAAGTTGAGACTAACCAATTTTTCCTGATTGATATTTTATTGGAATCTTTTCTATATTATGAAACAGTCAATAGGAGTTACTTTTAATCAGTCTGTTGGATACAACTATAACTGCTTCCAAGAATGGGAGTTGATTGTCATTTATCTGCTTGGCAGGCAACAGTGAGGCAACCAGTTGTTAAGAACATGATGAAAGCTCTGTACTTCCAATTTACAGTCGGAGTATTGCCTATGTATGCCGTTACGTTTATCGGTTACTGGGCTTATGGATCTAGTACATCGGCCTACCTGCTGAACAATGTTAATGGCCCAGTCTGGTTGAAGACTGTTGCTAATATTTCAGCTTTCCTGCAGACAGTCATTGCTTTGCATGTAAGGATCATTCATTTTCCTCAATTTTTATTTTTAATTTTTTCTTGTTCCCACTGTCGTTCAATGATTTTTGAGAAACTACTTCAGTTATGTAAGGATTGCTTGCTAACAAGTGAGTTACAATTTTTTATATAAAAATATGAGGCTTAAAGTTGAGAGTGGAAAAGAATAAACATAAAATAATATTCAACTTTTTGGGAGGATGTTACACGAATCTACCCCCAATACTTGAGAAACTATCTCTGTATTGTCAAATGACAACATTTGCTTCTAAGTCTGCTTTAATATGTAAGTGGCTCTGTTGAACATCCTTGTGGTCGAAATACATTCTTAGGTTGACAACAGTTTCATCTTAACACACTTCTAGTGCTCTGCACTAATTATTATTTGCTTTTGCTTTTCCTTTTAGATATTTGCAAGTCCAATGTATGAGTACCTAGACACCAAATATGGAATTGAAGGAAGCGCTTTAGCTGTACGCAACCTATCCTTCCGGCTAGTTGTGAGAGGTGGATATATTGGCCTAACCACATTTGTGTCGGCCCTTTTGCCGTTTTTGGGTGATTTCATGAGCCTAACGGGTGCTGTCAGCACATTCCCCCTCACCTTTATCCTTGCCAATCACATGTACCTCGTGGCCAAGAAGCACAACCTCACTCCCCTCCAGAAGAATTGGCATTGGCTCAATGTTGTTTTCTTCAGTTGCCTTTCTTTTGCGGCCGTAATTGCTGCCTTTAGGCTCATTGTCATGGATTCCAGTAATTATCATATTTTTGCCGATTTATGATTTCCTTTCTTTTTCCCTTTATCGTATGTATCCGAGAGAGGGATCCCACATTTTCCATGTCCTTTGAAGCCATCATAACGACTCTTTGAGAATTTAAAAAAAATGGTTTTTGGTTTTTTTCCTTATATTTTTTCTTTTGGTTCTATAGATTTTCTTGTCAATCCTAGGTAAGAGTACGAGCATAATAAGTGTATTTAATGTCCTTTGGATCATCTATTAATATGTGAAAGACTAATTTTGCTATGTAAATTACTGGAATACGATCAAATTGGCTCCTGCATTTGCATTTTATTATCTTTACCCGTGTGCTCGAGTTGCTTTGTTGAGTAGGTTCGAGGTTATGATGTTCATTATCAATAACATGCCCTACAAAGGATCATCACTGCTGAGGCACAGCCTCATTTCAACGAAGTATATGCCCTACAAAGGATCATCACTGCTGAGGCACAGCCTCATTTCAACGAAGTATAGTCTAAGGATGTAACATAAATGTCGAACTTGAATGGAACTTGAATTCGTTACCTTCACCTTCTTTTCCTTCCTCAATTTCTAGCATCATGTCTGATATTACTACTGCAATTGAATCTCTTTTCTTCTGTAAAGTTTATTTCCTTTATGAGTTTCCTTAGAGCCATGTGTGGGCTGCTCAGGGTGAAGACAGGTTCTTTGCTCGTTTTCTTGTTCTTATTAGCTGCTGCTAGTGAGATTAAGGATGTAATCAGTTGATTAATTGTTTGGACTATGTTTGAGTTTTAAGATTAATATATTTTTCGTTTTGGAAAAAAAAAAAAAAGAATGGAGCTTGGTAAAGTGGCTTCATAACTAATATGAGTAAATTATAATTTTAGTCTTGTATGTTTCACTACTTTAACTTTTTCGTCTTCTTCGAATAACGTTTTTGATTTTCGATCCGTATGTTTGAAAAAAGGTTACACAAAAGTCCTTTTCGTACATAAGACGAAATTGAAATATTTTTTTGCCAAAACATAAATGACATTTTTGTTGCAAAAATTACATTTTTGTAACCTTTTTACAATCATACGGGACGAAAATCAAAAACACAATTCGAAGCGGACGAAAAAGTTAAAATAGTGAAACATACAGGACTAAAATTGTAATTTATTCAATTAGTATAGCTTCCACTAGTCCTTTAATTTGTTTGAGCATAGAATTAGCTTTAACATTTTATTTTATTCAAACATATTTGCACCTTTGTTAATATCCAATGTGATTGCATGAATTAATTGCATCTTATACAGTAAAATGAGCTCGGTTCTTACCCGGAGTTCATGTAAGCGGTTCAAGTACCGGCTAGGTCGGAATGAACCGGGAACATGTACTTGAACCATAGAGACCGGATATGAGTTCGAGGTTGGTGCGACCTATCGCTATACGGGTCAAGTTAATTAAGAAACAAGTTGGACCTCGCTCGAGGTAACAAGCTGAAGAAGCGTATTGAACCGATTTTGTATGAAGAGTTGGTTGATGGAAGGATAATGAAGATCCGGGGGATGATATCTTTAGAGGAAATTAAGTTTTCTTTCACTAGTAGAAGTCTTGAAAGATTTTATATAAGAAATGAGTTATGGTTATTACTATTCATTACGCAACATTATTGAAGATAAAATTTTTTTGGAGTATGCTGTAGAAGCTCAGCTTTGTGGTTACTCACAACTTCTAGGCTTTGTGTTACTCACAATTTCATTTGAATGAGGTCAATGTTTTTGGTCAAGTTAATATTCGTAGTTTATTTATTTATGTGAACATAGTTTCTACGTTATACATGGTAGATAATATGGTCTGATATGAGTTGAACAGAAAGATTATATTATCGGTGTCTTGTAGAATATAAATATTTGTTAACAACCCAGACGAAATTGAACTAACTATCGTGAAAAGTTGTAGTGTGATTTTCGAGTTTATTGATCTTTGACTAAAGAATTACATTAGTACATATCAGATGTATTGGACAGACCTACAAGAGGATAAGAATATTTTATATTGACCAAGTAATTAATCTAGACCTCAGTAACTGATGCGTTCTTTAAACCCGTAAGACAATAAAATAGCATATGTATTCGGTACTTATTTATTTGATTTACCATGGGTGACACTTTTTCGGTTAGATCGACATACTTTTTATTTTGGTAAAGAATGTCGAGTGCATGATGTGCAGTTGAAATTGTTTACTGTCAATATGTTCCGGTCCATCAGGTTGATGCCTTCTCCAAAATGAGCTCAAGAAAGATTATTATGTCAAGCCTGACCGACATATTAATTTTCGGCATAGTGACAAGAATTGAGTGGTACTGTTTTTAGATAAAGAAGTTGATTAATTATATTACTAGTAATTAAATTAATTAACTAACGTTATATATTAAACATGTGGAGGTAAATCGAACAATTGATCGGGAGAGGAATTATTTGTAATTCAGGGGCTAAATGGGGAATGCAATAATATTCTTATAGTGGAATGAAGTATTCAAGTATGAGATGAGTGGGCTTGGCCCACAGTTACCCATAACTGGGCGTCCCATGTTTAGCACCTTCTTAGGGTCCCTGTTGTGGCCTATAAATACACCAAGTTCTAAGCCTCCAAGAAGAGTTACACACGTGAGGTTTTAGAAACCTTAAGCCGAAATCGACCAAAATTGTGTGCATGAGAAAGAGAAAGAAAATGTGTGAATCATGTGAGGTTTTGAGAGACCAGACGCGTCACCCACAAAGACGATCGGAGAAGGTGATTGGCCATATAACAGAAAATCCAATGGTCGTATGTTCGTGTTTTGGCAAATATATATATTCCCACGGCACATCCGAGGACCACCAAACTTGGCATCCTGACCACTGTGAACCACCACATGTGGGGGCGCCCTAGCAACAGCAAGGCGTAACACCCCGACGACGGCACACGACATTGAATGCATGGTAGCCCGATGATCCCAACGATGAGACCTGGGTGAGGCTGCCGATGACCAATGCATGACCATCTCGGGGACATCGCGCGTCCAGCCACACAACAACCTCATCCACGATGCATCGTAGCTGCCCGACAACGAACTCGAATGGCTTAGCAAAGCAAGGCAATCCCCAACGATGGTTGATGAGGCGCGACTTCAGTAATCAGCGATTCGACGTACCTGGAAAGGTAACTCATAACCATTCGTTTGGCCTTGTAGATCATGTATGTTTATACAGAGTCGGTTAAATTTTAAACGACAAGTCTCAAATTCGATTGCTAGTTTCCGTTACGCATAGGATTCGTTTCTTAGATTCTAAATCAATGCAAAACATGGTCTCTAACATTCCTCACAAAACCCAACAAATAGTATCAGAGCTATCGCTAATTCGGTGATCGTGTGACGATCGAAAGGGATCATACATGAACTATTTGAGTACGGTGCAATGCATATTAGTGTAGAACTGCTTGTTTGAATTGCAAGGTTCTTAGATTTACTATTATGGCCACTTGTTTGTATGCTTATGCTGATCATGTATGTGTTTTTAAAGCTTCAGACGTGTCCAAAATTATTTATAGGCTGGTAGAATGATTGTAATAATTTAAACACACGTGAGACATCATATAGTTTACCACTTTACTGGGTCATTCTTGTAAACCCCTATGTGGGTCGTAGGACATTTTTTCTATATATTTTTCTTGTTACGACGAACGCAACCAACCGAATGACGAACGATCAAAGACTAGTGGATTCTGGACGAGGCAACCCAACCATGGGTCTCGGCGACGGGGCATGGATTTCTCGGCAATCTATGTGATGGGACAAAGATGTCACCCGAGCTCCCTCGACTCGGACGGCCACCGTACCTGCAAGAACCCAAAGTCCGAGACCCCGGGAGGGGTGCCCGACTTTGGGCCTCCGATACTTAAGTCAGTACTGGATTCATACGAGAATGCATAGAGAAATAGTAGGGAGGGAGTGTAGAGAGAGAGAGAGAGAGAGTAGTAATGGAATGAGGAGAGAATGAAGGAAATGAGTACCTTCTCCCCCTTTTTATAGGGGGAGTGTACCTTATAGTCCAAGTTGGGCCTGACCTAGGTTGGGCTCAGCCCATATTATTATATCAAGTGTCTTAGCCCATGTATAGGCGTATTCTTCAATATATATCCATAAAAACCGTTCGGGTACGACATGCTATATCAAATACTACCGGTCGAGCCGAAAATACTAGCCGTGGCTATATCATCTAGTCCCCCCCACTCTGGTCGAGTGAGCATAACTCGATCCAAGAGTGAAAAATAGAGCAACTCACCACTGGAGTCAACACTGAACACCGAATGGTCGTAGAGGTCGAAAGTTAAGTGACCTGCCACTGGGGTCAAGCATCGGAAGTCGGATGACCAATAAGATCAAAAATCGAGTGACCCGCTTCTGGGTCGAACACCAAAAACCGGATGACCCTTAAGGTCGAAGTCCAAGACCCTCTGCTAGGGTCGAGGATCGAAATCCGGATGATCATTGAGATTGAAATCCAAGTTACCCGCCTCTGGAGTCGAAACCCAAAAGATCTGCATCCAAGATCGAGAACCGAAACTGGGGTCAAATGCCAAAAGATTTGTCTCTGAGATTGAGCATTGTGTTTGAGATTGGGTACTGAATAACTCGATGCTACCTCTAGGTCGAGAACCAAATTGAGGTCGAAAAACCTAATCCAAGAATCGAATGACAGTTGAGGTTGAAAACCAAGAACCGATAGACCACTGAGGTTGAAAACTAAGAATTGAGAGACCACTAAGGTCCAAAACGAAAATCGAGTAATCGCCTATGAGGTTGAAATCCGAGATTCGAGAGACCGCTGAGGTCAAAAACTGAAAACTGAAAACTGAGTAATCGCCGATGAAGTCAAAAGTCGAGAATCGAGAGACCGCTGAGGTCGAAAGTCTGGAAATGAGAGTCGAGAGACCGTTGAGAATCGAGAGACCGCTGAGGTCGAAAGTCAAGAACCGAGAGTCGAGAGACCGTTGAGGTCGAAGGCTGCAA